TTTTTTCCCTCACCACCTCTCACTCAGCCTCCTTCACACCTCATCTGGATAAATCCTGTCTGCTCCAATCCCTCCTGTGCCATCAATACAGCATCCCATGGGAAGAAACCACAGGGGAAGGGACATTTCCAGGAACACAGCTTGGTGCAGGAGACCCTGGGAAAGAGGAAATTTGGCAAAGGCTCTGCCAAAAAATAGCAGCATGTTCTTCACAAAGTGCTTCTCTCCGACGTGGTAATTATGCAGAAATCCGGAGTGGGGCTGTGAACTTGGCAGTTCCAGGGACTGTCTCATTCCAAAAGTCTCAGTTTGGGCTGGGAATGGGTCTGGACAAGGAGCAGCTACTACAGGTGGCAGCTATGTCGTGGTGGTTAAGCCAAAGAGCATCATAATGAGAGGTGCAGCCCTGGGAAAGCTGTCAGCAGTCTAAGCAAAGTTAGATGGGATTAGATTGAAAAAATCCCCACCAAAAAATCAAATTTTAATCTATTTTTTTATTATTATCAAGACATTTATTCCTAACTGGTCTGTTCCATACACCTGGTGTGGTACAGGCAGTACCAGCAAGGCTTTGGGGGCTTTCTGCACAAATGGAATTTAACACTCACATTTCTACGTAAAGCCATTCAAAACCTCTCTCAAAGAATTTTGTACTTCCAGGTCACAGGAGAATCAGGCCATGTGTTAATCATGTTCCACTAGAGAAGATGTTTGCTAATAATTCCCAAGAGCCATTCTTGTTATAAACAGCTGAAGACCCACTCAGAGGCTGAGCTATGGCAGCATTAAAAATTCAGCTGTGGAAACTATAACAGGGTCATAAAAATCCTGACAAAAATATTTCTTCTTTATTGGGGCTAAATATGATGACTGAGTTGTTCCCAGGGAACAATTTATCTGTCTGTTCTAAACTGGAGAATATCCTGAACTGGAAGGACCCACAAGGATCATCAAGTCCAGCTCCTGACCCTGCACAGGATCACCCAAAGAGTCACATCATGAACTTGGGAGCATTGTCCAAGCATGGACAAGAATCATTAATAATAATTATTACTAATAATAATTTAAAAATTGAATTGCAAAGTTGCACCTCTAGGAGGAGACCAAAGAAATATAAAATAATCCTTCCTGCTGCTGAAATTCTCTGCATCTTCAATGAGCTACAGCTGAGAGCAGCTGAGAACTTGGCAAAGACGTCTCGAACGACGGCTTAGAGAAATGCAAATGTGCAAAGAGGGGAAAGGGGGGAGAACCAGCCCATGACAAAGTGAATTGCACTAATTATTTCAGATTATGCTCTTTAAAACATATTTTCGGCTTCTTTCCTCTTACAAGTGCCATTAATCCCAGCTCTACAGCTGAAGTCTAGCAGGATGCTAAATATCCAAAATTCCCTTGCCGCCTTAATAGGCAAGAGTGTTCTTCATTTCTTGTCCTAACCTACTCCAAGTGGTTATTATGCATCATTTATCAGCAGTGCATCCTAGCTCAGAGCTGACTACATTTTACTAGCGGTGCAAATTATGCTTCTACACATGTAGGGGGATTTTTTTTTTTTTTTTTTAATCTGCACAGACTACAAATGCGAATGTTGCTCATCCAAAATTCCCTTGGCTAACACGCCCATCTGTCCCAGCTTTTACAAATTGGGGGGGGGAAAAAAATCCCTTTTTATTACCTAGGAAAGCTATTAGTCTGTTACATTTGATATCCCTGATGTTGCTGGAGTCACCAAGGAGGTATAAACACACGCATGAGCACACCCAGGCTCCTGCAGCCTGTCCTCTGCAGGTACTGTGGTTCTGCCTCTGCTAACACGCAAACCCTGGGTTTTAATAACACAATTTATTCTCTATTGTAAGCAAAAGCTTAGGAGGGAAAACTTAAAGGGATGAAGGCGCTGCAACGAGGACAGCTCTTGATGTGCCAGAATAAATCACATCAGGGTGCTTGGTAAGCACCAGAAATCTCTTGCCTGGGGTGAATTGTGAGACTTCAGTAGTAAAATGAGGCATTAATAGAGCTCAGTCACACTCCTTTCTTTCCTTTGCCTCCTCACTTCTCAGCAACTTTTTGTGCCGCTGCTCCTTTCAAACACACCCTTGTTATCGCTTTGAAAGCCCAGGTTTATGGGTTTGTATTTGTTTTCTACTACAGAATGCATCATTTAAGGCTAATAAATTAAACATACGGCAGAGGCAGAGGGAGAAAAATTAGTTACAAGCATCTGCAGCAGTCTCGCAGTTTATTTGTCTCCGAAAGGCGCTGCTGCCATGGAGACAGGATTTCAGAGTTTGCTTCACTCCAGGTTGCTCTGCAGGATCTTAGAACCATAAAATCATTGAGGTTGAAAAGACCTCGAGGATCATCAAGTCCAACCAGGTCCACCACTAAAGCATGACCCTAAATGTCACTTCTTCATTGAGTGCTTCCAGGGATGGTGACTCCACCACTTCCCTGGGCAGCCCGTTCCAATGCTTGGCCACCATTTCAGTGATGAAATTCTCCCTAATATCCCATCTAAACCTCCCCTGGTGCAACTGGAGCTGCTTCCTCTTGCTCTATTTCTTTTCCCTAGGAGCAGAGCCTGGCCCCCTCTGCTTGCACCCTCCTGTCAGGGAGCTGTGCAGAGTCAGAAGGTCCCTCCTGAGCCTCCTTTTCTCCAGACTGAGCCCCCACAGCTCCCTCAACCACTCCTGCTGCTCCAGACCCTTCTCCAGCTCCACTGCCATCTCTGGACACTTTCCAGCACCTCTTTCTTGTAGGAAGGAGTCCAAAACAGACCCCACAATTGGAGGGGTGGCCTCAGCAGTGCCCAGCACAGAGGGACAATCACTGCCCTGGTCCTGCTGATCCAGGCCACGATTCCCCTGGCTGGTATCATGCACCAACAGAACACATCGAACACAGAGGGAGACAGAGAGAAAAGTAGAAAGCGAGAAACAAGACCCAGGAGAAACCACTCCTGGTGCACCCTCTGAAGCCTAAATTCATCTCCTCTATTTTCAGGTGCACCAGGCAGGAGGTTCAACTTATGGATCTCTATTTCTAACAATTTCAGCCCTTCTTGAAACCCCTGGAAGGGTTCCAAACACCCTCTGCCAAGCCTCCTGAGGAGCAGCAGCCCCTCCTGCAGCCTGGCCCTTCTCTGCTCCGCAGCCCCCGGATCCTCACCCCATCCGAGACACAAGAAGCGCTTGCGGATGATGCGGTTCCGTAACCGGCCCGTCACGGCCATGTAGGACTGCCAGGCCTCGGTCAGCACCCAGCAGAAAGAGGAGAGGAAGAAGAAGTGCAAGAAAGCCGCCACCAGCGTGCAGATCACCTGGAGAGAGGAGGAAAGGACACGTGAGAGGAGCGGCAGGCGGAGAGAGCAGCAGGGAGCAGAGAGGAAGGCGCGGGAGACGCTCCCCAGCCAGGCTCTGGAAGGAAAAGTCATGGAGATCAGGACATGGAAATACTGTTTAAGAGGGGGAAGGCTCCTCCACAAGCTTTGACCAGTAAAGACCAAAGCGTTAAATTTAAGTACTACGTGTAAATCATCTGCTCTAAAGTATGAGCTTTGGGATAAGGCCATGGTTAACGCCTCAGAGGAATTCTGGAATTGTAGAATGGTTTGAGTGGGGAGGAATCTTTAAGATAATTTAATTACAACCTCCCCTTTTTTTTGTTTTTAGGAGGGGCTCAGACTAGGCTGACAGGGATACCTTCCACTAGAAGTCTGAGCACACATCCCATCCTGGTGCTTTCTTGGCTTCAGCAGGATATATTTAATTTCCAAAATGTCCAAACTATTGCCATGATCCTTACAAGGTGGGGAGGGATGGAGTGGTTAGTAAACAGTGCACTAAAGTCATCTCAAAAGGTTTGCAAAGCACCATGCCCCTGGCAGCCCAGGCATGGAAATGAAATCCGAGGAAGGTAATTTGGATTGTGCCCCTGCCAGAAAACCAGGGCTGAGTGAAAGAGTTAAGTCATGAGAGCTGGGTGAAACCACAGCTACCAGGGGCTGGGAAAGGACTGCAAACATGAGGGCACAGTTGTCCAAGAGCACGTAACTACCAGCAGACAGGAGGGAAAAAAAAAAAAAAAAAAAAAAAAAAAAAAAAAAAAAAGAAAAAAAAAAAAAAAAAAAAAAAGAAAAGAAAAACCCCCTAGATTAGAAAGAATTTCATAATGGTGAGCTCTACTACTTGGTGGGGAAATCTCACAAGGGAAATGCAGGCAGCTTAAGCCATTTAAAATTAAACTGGAGAAAGAACTGGCAAATGCATTATGAAGAACAATCCCGGAGTGCCAGGGAGATGGACTGGAAAGCTGACAAGCTCGTCTTTGTTTTAACTCAGCAAGGCCAAATCTTTCACTGGTGCAAATTGGTGCCGCTCTGTTTCACTCAGCCAGTTTTCCCCCCATCTGGGGGCTCAAAACTGTGAATCAATGTACTCGAGAAGAAAGTGATGGGAAGAAACTCCAGTGAAGAAGGGAAAGCAAATAGATTTTTAAAAGTGACTATGGATAAAAAAAAAAAAAAAGGGCTTCAGGCATTTGGGGGAGGGGGAGGTTTATAATCAAGAATTTCTTTGCTTTGAGTTATATGGGGAAACGTGGACTTGGCTTTACGGTCAATGAACCTTTCTCTTTTTTCTCTTTTTTTCAACCACCAGCATCTTTCAAGCCAGAGCTCTCATGCACAGAGTGGCTTTTATCATGATTTTATCGGTTTGCTCTCGATTCATCCACTGGCACCACCTGACGTTATCAGAGGCTGGGAATAAAAGCAAGACCGTGTGTTCTCTGAGATAGGAACTGTCTTTTTTTGGTCCAGATTTGCATTTGACACCAAATCTCTCCGTATTCTGCTTAAAGGTGGATTTGGGATGTCAGTTCAGTACAAATAACACAGCTCAATATGATAATGTCCAGCAATTTTCACATTTTACAAGAATCCTAAAAAAAAGATGGTTCCTATTCATCAGCTTACAATCCCTATATGAAACAGCTACAAACAGAGAATGCTTTCTGGAATGGATTTGAAGAGCTGGCTATTTTATAACCCTTTTCTTTTTTGACTGATATCAGGTACAACACTGCTCACATTGCCTTTTTGATTTTGTTTCAAACCAACACAGTTCTTCCTTGTAACGGGGAGAGAAAAAGCTTTGCTCTACAATTTTACACCACAGAGATACATTTGGGTTTGTTTTGGTTTTTTTTTTTTCTCCAATGAGTAGCTTTGACAGAAAGGGCAGAAGAGAGGAGGGGAAGACAAGAGAAATATGCACATCTCAGCTGGACCAGGATGAACTCATCGCCTCAAATGAACTTGGCCAACTGATAGGCAGGCAAATATTTGCTTCTGCAACCTCTGCTGCAGGTTCTCCCTTCCTTGTGGGGAAAACCAAACATTCCCATGAAGGGCTAAGCACAGGGATATGATGTCCCAAGATCCAGCAGAGCCTGTCAGTCTGTCAAGGCCATTAGCCCTTGTTTCCCCTTAAGAGGAGAAATCTGTTCGATTCCAGCACAAGCCTCGGAGACATGGCCTCTTCCTGCAGCATCCCTTTCCTTTGTATCCCCGGATTGCTGACTGTAATTTTATTTTTGCCTTTTCCCAGGCCTTTCATCTTCAAAAAGCTTAGCAAATCCAGGCGTGGAATCTCGCCTTTGAGGTTACACGGATGGAAATCCAGGGAGAATTTGACATTTCCAGGGAAGCCGATACCGCAGAAATCTCCCAGAGAAGCCACAATTATAAATCACCAACATTTTAAGGTGCTCTATTATTGATAATTGAATGTGAATAAAATCTTAATTTACACTCCTTCGTCTCTCCTCTGCATAGTTTTCTTTCTCTGTTGCCTGCCAGAGACTGTTTACTAGATGGCTGAGAGGAAATCCAAGAATAACCTTTCTATTTCTGGGGTTTCATGCATATGGATGTGCAAAGATCTAATCTGCCTCCTGCCATCACTGCTGGGAGCTTCGAATCCCCACCAACAGCTCCGACAGTGAACTCCCAGAGTCATGGGACAAAAAACCCACCAGGGAGAACCTGGGTTCATAACTGTGCTCTGGAGGAGGTGGGAGAGGAGGAACACATCCAGCTCCTGTCCTGAGGTGAAGAACCACCATCAAAGAGGGAGTCCAGCTGTGGTTTGTCCTGTTGAGCATCCCTCAGTGCTTCATCCCATGGAAAGAAGCTCCCAGCACATCTTTGGTGTGGCAGAAAACGCAACCAAGGAAAGCAGGGACTTGGGTCTCCCTCTCTCCAGCTCTTGCCAACCACGTTGGCAATGGAAGACAACTCTGCTTTGGGAAGGGAGCTTCTGAAGGGCACTTTGTAGCAGGAGCAGAGATGGCTGCTTGTTTCCACACTTCTCTGCACAGACGGGGCTCCAGCATATGGAAAGCTTTTCTTAAAACAACTTAACCCTAACCCAAAGGGCTTTCCATAGAAATGAGCCCCTGATTCACTAAATCCTTCAGCTTCTCTGCAGGAATAATAAAATCATAGGATGGGTTGAGTTTTGGGAGGGACCGTAAAAACCATCTCATTCCAATCCCTTGCCATGGGCAGGAATATTTCTCTTTGTTCAAAGTTCTGTCCAACCTGGCCTTGAACACTTCCAGTGTTGGATCACCCACAATTGCTCTGGGCAACCTGTTCCAGTGCCTCACCATCCTCAGAGGGAAGATTTTATTCCTGATATGCTTCTAACAGTGACACCATGCTCATGCTGCCAAAGCAGGGGCTCAAAAAACCCAGCTGGTCACTGGTTCCTGTTAAACAATAACTAATTTTTGACTTCTGATTGTGATTTTGGCAGCAGAAAGAGTGGAGGAGGCGTCTTGACTCACGTTTTTTGGCTCAACAGAGTTATGATAGTCAGAGCATTCTGGAAGAGGGGAAAATTTACAAGAGGAAAATGGTAACGGTGAGCAGTGATTTGTCATGCCAGACGTCAACAGGGAACCTGAAAGTGCTTGAGCTGGAAAAAAGTCATGGAGGCAACACACACCTCTCCAGCTGGGTCTTGGAAGAGAGCAACCAGTGCTCATGGCTTGGAAAACCACACTGGGTCTTGCCTGAACTGCTGGAATCACTCTGGGATCTGCTCCGAGTCCCTCGCGGCCCTGCAGTGCTCACGGTACATCTGGCAATGCTTCCCATCCCCAAAAAAGGTTGGACAGTTTTGTGCCTGTGTTCATTAACATCTGCCAAGTACTTTCAGCTCAGAGTATAAAAACTGCCAGGGACATAAATGTAAAGCTGAGAGGTTGTTTGTTTGGGTTTTTTTTTTTTTTTTTTAAAGCCTTTTCTCAATCTGTCTTTGTAATTTTTTTGAAAATAAAATGGTTAAAGCCTCGCAAATCACCACGCTTCTTCACCGTGTCATGTGCCAGCTACTCTAGGCAGATATTCAAAAATATCACATTGGTTTTAATCAAAGCCCTGAGGATGCTGACAAATTATCAAAGAGAGAGCGAAAGAGAAAATTGAAATCTGCCATTTAGCTGTGTCTTTGACATGTCGCTAATTAACAGATGGAGGAAAAATGAGGAAGCGCTGCCTGAATGGATCATTTCAGTGCTAAATCAGGGGGAAAGCAAACAAATAAACAAAGCCCCAGTGGATTCCTTACCTTATTCCGGGTCTGGGTCTGTCCGATGAGGATGAGAGCGTTGGAGGAGATGATGGAGAGGCAGAAGTTGATGAGGATGACGGAGCGCTCCGAGCGGATGTACCTGCAGTGAGAGAAGAGGGGAGGGAGACCCACCCTGTCACAGACTGCCCTGGGTGACCTCTGGAAAGCAGCAATCCAGGCCAGGCTTTACAGAATTGCCAATTTCCTGAAGATTTTATGTGCTAGACAGACAAGACCAAGGGGGGAAGGGAGGGGGAGAAGATATCTCCATCATCCCCATCAATGCTGGCCAACAAACGAGGGGCCAGCCTAGTCTGAGCCCCTCCTAAAAACAGTAGAGTGCTGCACATCTTCTTCAGCTCTGCCTACTTGAAACGGGGGCTTGAAAGGGAGCTTGAAAGAAAACAAACAGGCAACACACGGAAAAGATTCCCAACCAAGAGCCACAGGCATGCTGGCGATGGAAGCAGATTACAAACACATGCACCTTGACAACAAAGTGTGTGTGATTCAGCATTCCACTTCCTTCAGCCTAACAACCCCTCCTGGGGTGAGAAGCATTGAGAAGCATTTCTGGCTCTTTTTTAAATGTTTTTTTTTTTAATTCTTTTTTTTTTCTTTTTTTTTTGTACCACATCTCCAAACTAGGCCAAATAACTGCAGCTGTGGGTTTGGGACATCAGGGACAGCAGTTAGGGAGCTGTTGCCTTCAGCACCTTGCAGGAGCCAGCTATTTGTCATTTCTGATTTGCAGCACAGCACCAGGCTCGCTGCCGAGGTAAGTGCACCACAATTAATTCAAACCACTGGCTAGGGAGGGAAATTTCTTTGAAGGCACTTTTATGTACCTGATAAAATGAAAAGGGAACTACAAAGGTTCAAGTCGTCAAGGACTTGACTCAAGATCTGACCACACCAACATTCACACACGTGAATTATCTCAAAGATGCTGTAAGTGCCCTGCCTGAATGCCAGATGAGTGAAGAGGAGATGCTGATGCTTATATAAATTAGAAACAGATGTATTAATCAACCAGCTCATCCCTGAAGGCTAATGCAGGATTATTTCCTATATTCCAGCACATCAACTATTTATGTTGGGAATTTAATTTCATTAATTAATTTTAGCAAGAGTGAGTTGGTCATGCCTTGGCTGCGGAGTTTTGAGTTTCTGGTGAGGAGGGCAGGATGGGTTTGCTGCATCTGTGTGTTCTGCCAAGGGTAAATTTGTGCTTTAGACCTAATGAAGGCTGTAAAACTTTGAATTTTTAACTTCCCCTTGAGCAATACCTTCAGACAAACATGTATGGTGAAGATGTGTTTTCCTGGATTCAAAAAAGAAAAAGAAAGGTAGCATGAACTCCTACTTAATCTGTTGTAAATCTGGTTTAGAGGAAGATCTCCTCTGAAATGAAACACTCCCAGCCCCAGAACAGGTTGCAAAATTAAGGATCCCTCCTCAGCAAGAAACTGAGTTGACAGGATGCAAAATGAGCTTCTGGTTCCTTCCACAGCCAAGCTGAGCCCAGACTTCCTGATTTCACTGGGCTCCACACAATGCTGGGCATCACCCGGACCCTGCTCCATTTGTGACTGGAGGGTGCTGAGACCTTTGAATGCTTTGATTGTGTGAAGTAAAACTGAAATTTCCAGTCAGTAGCTGCTACGGGGCAGAAACAGAGATTTGGACTCTGTCCTGGTGGGAACGAGATGTAATAAATCTGTGTAGCAACACTAGGATTCCACTGCTATTAACATGAACTTCTGAAGTCTCCACTGGTCAGAAAAAGGTAAGAAATGAGTTGATAAATCTGCATTTTAATGTAAGGGCAGATAATCCAACTGTCTAAAGACTTTTTCACCCTTAAGCCCCCTTAAACCAACTCTCCTTTTCTGTGCTTCCCTTCACACCCTGAGAATTTATCTTGTTCTCCAGATCCCTGAACCTCCAAAGAACAAGATGTGGGTTGGCAATGGAAAGAATCAGAATAATTTAGGTTGGGGAAAAAAAAAAAAAAACCCTCTCAAGTTTCCAGTCCAATCCTATGCCCAAAAAAAGACTGATTTCAAAGTCAGATCAGGTTTCTCATGGTCTCATCTGATTGAGATTTGAAAATCACCAGGAACAGAGATGCTACCACCTCTCTTGGCTGACTTATTACAGCACTAAACTGCTTAACTTAACTGCTCTCCTGGTGAAGGATTATTTTGCTTTAGATCCAGCTGGGTCTTTTCCTGCTGCAGCTGGTGCCTCTAGACCTTTCCCTGCCTACCTCTGCAAGTTGTCTGGCTTCTCCATGACTGCTCTTTAACAGCCTCCTCTTCTCCATGTTTGTTCCCTTTGCCTCCTTTGACATTGTCCAGCTCCCTCAGCATCCACTGGACTTGCTGGGATGTGCTGGTATCTCTGCTCTTGGGGGGATCCAATACTGGGCACCTTTTCAAGGTGTGGCCTCAGGAGTGTCAAACATCATCCAGTTTGTTAAAGAAGACATTAAACAATGCTGGCCACTCTGCCAACCCTGACCAGTTCTTGATTAGGCCTCAAACTTTTGACCACTACCCTCAAATCCTGCAGGAATTTCATCCAGATAGAAAGCCACCAATCCAGTGAATAATTCCATGATCTGGATACAAAAATTTGGAGACTGTGTTAATGGCCTTGGTAATGTCAAAATCCACACCAGCTGCTTCTTCCCACTGTGCGTGTAAGCAGTCATCCCATCCCAAAAGGAAAATAGGGCAGCCAGGCACAACCTGTCCTCCACAAATCCTCACTGTCTATTCCCAATCGCTTCCCTGTCCATCATTTTGCCTGGAAATAACCTTTAGAGCTACTTGCTCTTTAATCATCCCAGGGGCCGTGTAGGCTGACCGGTCAGTTGTTCTCTGGATCCTCCTCCTTGCCCTTTTTAAAGGTGGGTGTAACATTTGCCTTCTCCCAGCCTTCAGGAAGCTCCCCAGGTGACAGAGAGTGGCTCCACAGTCACACCAAACACCTCCCTCAATGCATCCCATGGATCTGCAAACACCCAGAGAACTTAAACAGTCCTTGTTTCTCTTTTCCTTGGCAGTGGGGAGCGTTTTCTCCCCTGGATTCTGCCTCTGTGGAGGAATTTGGGTGCCTGGGAGCCAGCCTTGCCAGCAGAACATGGCAAAAAGCCACTGGGCACCTTCACCTTTTCAACTTCCTTATCCACTAGGCTGCTTGTCCCACTCAACACCATTTCCTGGGAAATCCTTTGGGGCTGATAAACCTCCAGAACCCGTTCTTGATGCCTTTCACATCCCTGACCACTTTCAAACACAGCTGACCATTCTAATTCAATCCTGCATTCCTGGGCAATTCTTCTAGAGTCCTCCTTGGTAGCCTGACCTGGATTCCAAACATTTCCTTGTTAAGTTTCTGCTCAGTCAGAATGCTAAGAAGACCTCCTGCCACGCTTGTTTTTTTCCTTCCGTTTCCTCTTCTCCAGCACAGGATGCTCCACAGAAAGAAATCACCATTCCTCTCCAGACCCTCTGGCTAAAGAAGTCAGGAATTTGTATCAGAGGGAGAACAAAACCCATAGAAATTGGTGGGTTTTGCCCAAAACCACATCTGCAGCAAAGACAGAGCTACTCCAGGGTGCTGCCTTGCTACCCCTCTACTGATACATGGATTCTGTCTACGTATAAAAATATGCTGTACTCAGCCACAAATCTGGGGAAAACTCACTGCTAATTTAGGGAACTTCTTCTCCAGCCTGTGCCCTACAATCACAGAATATCCTGAGTTGGAAGGGACACGGAAAGATCAGCAAGTCCAACTCCTGGCCTTGCACAGGACACCCCAACAATCCCACCCCTTGCCTCAGTGTGTGTCCAAACACTCCATGAGCTCTGGCATATTTGGTGCTGTGACCATTCCCAGGAGAGCCTGTTTTGGTGCTAAACCACGCTCTGAATTAAGAAATATTTCCTGATACCGAACCCAACCCTCCTATCATAGCTCCAGCCATTCCCTCGGGTGTTGTCACTGGTCACCAGTGAGGATCCCCACAAGCTGTGTGAAGCCCTGCAGCAGCTGAGACAGATGGAAAAGGTGGGAAAAGCCCACAGTCTGTTTCTCTGCCCCCATTAGACTCCTCTCCTCTCCACAAACACTGAGTCACCGCTGCTTTCTCACCGTGTGTACACACATCCCTCTCCACACAGCCACTTACTCATCCCTGCCACCTCCCACCAGGGCCAGGAGTGCCTCAGTATCCCCAGCACAGGCAGAGCTCCTGGGTTTAAAGCAAGAGAGCTCATGGACAGCCACTCAATCAGTCCTCAGGAGTGAGAAAAGCTGGGGCTGCTCTCTTGCAGTGATGCAGCACTCACCCAGCTGCTGCCAGGGACAGAGCTCTGCCCTGCCCCACATGCTGATGGGCTGGTGGATGAGCTGCTCGATAGCAGGGATCGATTCCCATGCTATGGAAAGGTCACTGACTCCAGAGGCTGTTGAGCTGCAATGAGTTCAGGGATGGAAAACACATTGAGGCACTTCTGAAATGCCAGTGTGTCAAGGAGCTTGCTTGAAAAGAGGTGTCATTTCACCCGTTCTGACCCCTGAGTGGTTGGGTTTTCCCCCTCAGTTTTTCATTTCCACACCAGTTTTCAATTTTTTTCTCGCAATTCCCCCTCTTTTCCCACAGGGGTGGTGGAGCACGTGGCCCACACACAGATTGTGCCTCCAGCTGTGACCCAGGACAGTCAGTGCAGAGATGGAACAAGGTCACTCCACTTCTGTGGCCCACTGTGTCACTGACCCCTCTGTCGAGCCTGCTAATAAGACCAGAGATGCACCATCTGCAGCAGGGATTTTTGCAGCCATCTGTCTGCTGGGGACTGGAGTGAGGCCACCAACAGGCCACCAACAGCCGTCGAACAGAAACAACTTCCAGCTTCCAACGGGGCCGTGCCAAGTTGGCTGTGTCTGAAGCGATCACTTGCCTCAAAAAGCTCGTGCCATTCATGCCAGTGCCTGAGTAGGTGCCACCAAGGAGCAGCCTTTATTTGGGGGTTTTGAATGGAAAGAGGAGGGGAAATTCATTTCCTCCCTGATATGCGGCTTGAAGCTGGGATCACCTCCCTGTTACTCTGCCCCTCTTTTCTTTGCCGTGTTCCTCTCCCTCTTTCTCACCCTCCCTTCTTTTCTGGTTCCCATATACACAAACAAACCCTAGCTGGGCAAAATTCTGGGAAAGCTTCCAGATTGTCAGCCTCAGCGAGCTTATTCATCAGAAGTGTTTCATACTCAAGCTGGGTCTATGGATGCATGCTCCAGATGCCTTTGTCCAGAGCTCTGAATGGGAAATTTTCCGGCCAAAGCTCCACGAAACAGCTGAGCTCTGGTGAGTGCTCTCCACACAAGATCAGGCAGCAGGACATGAGGAGTTTTCTCTCCAGCATGGAGGAAAAGAACCACTTTGATGCTGCTCCTGTGTTTTAGAGACAACAATACTGCTGATTCCATTTCTAAGCACTCCTCCAGCTGCTGTCTATCAGAATATACAACATTTAGGGCAAAACAAAGTGGGAGCCAGGAGATAATGTCGAATACAAAGTTCCTGAGACCGTTAATAGGAAAGCACATTCACGTCCAGCAGCTATGCCTAAAATAAAAAGGACACACAGAGCGCTCAGGGCTCAGCCACGGGAATGCTGTGAAGTTTGGAAAACATGAAAACATGATCTACAGAGAAGAAATGGAACAAACTCAGCGCACCAAAGAGAAATTCTAGAGATCACTTTATCATGCTTTACAAATATTTACACAGAAAGACTCAGGATAGAGAGCCCTTTAATCAAGATATAGCTGGTCTCAGGATCACTTGGAAATGGATGTCCATCCTTGGCTAGCTCAGAAATACCCATTCAAGCCTCCCTTAAACGTGTCCTCCCATTCCTGCTGATCGTTTTGGGCATAGGCATAAGGCAAAGAGTGGAATGAGAAATTAAACAGAACACATTTGAAACAGGTCAGGCAATTTACTGTCCTCAATAACAGTAAATATTGGAGGGGTAGGTGGGGAGCACAGTCCTGGAAAAAAATACATCAGGTTATTCCAAATGGCTCTGGCATGCTCCAAACGGATTCAGCCTCATGTCTGAGCTTGGGCTTCAGATCCTGACCCTGTTTCTGATAGGAAAGAGAGGGTGAGGCTCGAACGCTTGCTCTTTAATCTTCTATCCTAACTTTCCACTTGATCCTGACACCAGTGACCCCAGTAAGTCACCTACCGGCGCTGCTCAGTGCCGCCCAGCCTGAGGAAAAGCAGGAGAGGACAAGGACTTGAGCACATCCAATGATACCCCAGGCACGGAAAAACCTGAGTTCTAGATAAACGTTATCATGATCAGTCTTCAGCTGCCAAAATTAACCAGCCACTATGCACTGTCACAGTATCAACAAAAAAAAAAAGATGCATTTTTGCTCAGTTTTTACTCTCTTGTTCCTTTCCTCTATCAAAGAAAAAGTTATCTCCATTCAATCTCTAAATGGAATTTACCCTTTCCTTCCTGCTGAGAAGAAGCACTGCACAAAATGAGAGCCTCACACTGATCCCTTCTCCCAAAAGGATCACCAATAATACCCAACTGTGCTCCCTGCAGCCACTCCATTTGGGTTTCACAGACATTCACCTGGTTCTGATTTGTCTTTGCTTGGCCTCGAGCCATGAAGGTCTCAGTGTGTTTGCCATGGATTTAGGAGAGACATGGATCTCGTAGGATAAACCCAGACCTTGTTCAAGGCAATACAGGGAGAAAATCCCTTGCACACCTCGGGTCCTCCAGCTTAGAGTCACCAGAATGTATCTAACAGGGGCATGGGCCAATTGTTCATCAAAACTTTGCTTCAAAATCCCTTCAGCCTCCATAAATGACACAATTTTAGGTTCCACCTGACCTGTGTACAGGAGCTGTCAGCAATGGGATGTACTGAGGGATCCCATATGCATCTGAAGCTGAAGGCAAAAAGTAGCTAAAAGGTTGGGGAGTTATTTAGATGATTTAAGGTTGAACGTTCTTAAGCTCCTGCAAAGTTCTGTCAGATCTTCAGGCCAGATGTTTTCATGGCAGGTCATGGAGGTTTGGATGTTCCCAAAGAATTACCTTGCAGCAGCATTTGCCTGCCAAGAGGCTGTGCGTGTCCACCTCGCCTCTGACAAGGTTTCCTGGGGTACACAAAGGCATCGAAACCAGCACGAGGCTTTTGGAAATGGAACAATGTCCCTACATGAGGGCATGGCACTAATTTCACTCTGCTAATTTCTCTGGCACTGAAAGGAGAGAATAATGCCAGCTAAGCCACCAGGATGACTTTCTGCAGGGCCCACTCATTCCCAAACAATTCCTCCTCAAGCACCAGACACCCAAAACCACAGAGCAAACATTCCAGGATCCATGTAGGTTAAAAGACAGTTACTTTCCCCAAAAAGAAGAGAAGAGAATGAAAGCCATACCTCCAAACAGAGACATAAATGATAATCAACAGCAAAAGCGTCAGCGAGGATACTCCACAGCCTACAATTAATGTGACAGAAGGGACCAGCACCTTTTCCATGTTCTGAAAGAGAGAAAGTGAGACATTAAAAAATAAGTTCAGCGAGTTCTACCATGAAAATTCCATGGCAAGAACTTCCCTGTTTGCTGGTGCATCCACTCAGCTGACCTTCACATCACACTGTGCATACAAACAAACAGGGAAGGAGACCAGGATCTGTTTCTCCTTGACCCAGTCTTTTTTGTTTTGGACCTGATTCTGCTCCCACAAACCAGTGCCAAGCCTGGGTAACAATTCTGATATCCAGGGAAGGCAGGCATGTGAAAGGTGTTATGAGAGGAGGATCAGGCTCTTCACATCCAGTGTGAGAGTGGGAAGATAATTAATGAAGCAATAACAGAACAATTACAAACGAGATCTTCTGGGACGGCGGTGATGAAGGGTGGAGGATGAAAAGAAGGTGAAAATTTTCCACCAACCACAAACATTCATCTGGAAAAGGATGAAATGAAGCAAGGGAAGAAAAAAACAAAATGTGTATCCTCCCCAGGGATCTACCATCCATCAATTCACTGCTCCTACACCATTACACAAGGCATTTTTTTCATAGAAGGGGATCACACAGGCTGGAAAACCTGGTGTGGAATGGTTCTTTTTTCCTGACTGAATACAAAAGAACATCAGCTCTTGCAACATCAACAGCAAACACACACCGTAACCTCTCTAATGGTGCTGTCTGCATCCTGTGCCTGTAACTACCCAACATCTGCCACACTGATGTCACTGAACTCGTCCTGTCCTCAGCGAGGAGCGAGGAGCTCAATCCCACTTGGCTCTCTCTGCTGCAGGCATTTTTTTTTCCCCCCCTGGTACTTTTCTTATTTCCACATCAGTGAACTCTGCTGGCAGGAAGGCAGAGAGAGGCAGAGCCCCACGCAGAACAGACACCCAAGAACCCGATTTTTAGGGTCACACCGTTTGCAGAGGACAGGGAGCCCAGTCAAGGTTGTCATCAGATTGGCACAGCACCAGCACCTCACACTCCACTCATGGAGATGAGATGGTTTCTGACACAGCAAGGGCTTAGCACAGGAGATAACATAAAAAAAAGGAAAGTAAATTATGCATGATTTTGGGAATGAAACAGGCAGTCCTCTAAGGACTTGACTACACCGTTTTTTTGGCAGGCATGAGGCTGCTCAGCCTGAACCTCCAGTCAGAGGGATGCCATGGAGCTGAGGCTACAGCAGCTCTGTTCCAGGCTACTGAGCCCTCTGTGAAGTGAAACACATCAGGCAGGGCTGGATTTAAATGGAGCCTGGCCAGCTCAGCACATGGCCAAACCAAACCTGTGTCCACTTACTCAAGGCCCACAGTCACTACAGGGTTACTCCACAAAAATATATGAATAATCCTGATACACAGAGGTCAGACCTGAAGTGTCCCTGAATTTTTGAGGGCTTGGGAAAATCCTCCTTATTTGCTTATTTTGGACACTTCTCACAGCTGAGGGGAATTAATGAGGAACAAAACCTTCACCATGCCACTGTGAGGAACCCTGCAGCAGCTACTGGGAAGGATGGAACAAGAACTAGTGACAGACTGCAGAAGCCTAGAAAATAAGGGGATTAATGTGAATGTCTCAAACATGGTGGTCATGAAGCCAACCAAGGATTGTTGGTAATAACACACTGAAGAACACGGTGTGGTTGGAGAAGGGGCCATGCAGAGGTAGGGCAGCACTTTTCTGGGAAAAAAAATCCTTGTTCTGGCACCTGGAGATCAGCACAACTCAGCACAGTGCAGGCAAAGGAATAAGGTGGAGAATTGGGCATGAATTATAGGGTGGAACAAGACCACCCAAGATCCCTGAAGGCTCCAACCCACTTCCAGAAAGGTCTAGAAGAAGAGGCTGTGCATGACAACTGATTTGCATGAAAAGAGAAAGACTTCTCTCCAAAGCAGAGAAAAGATCTATAAAAAGGTACTGCCTGGGCCCATGGACACCCCATCAGCTGGATCAATGCTGGAGCCAGCACTGGTGATTTCTCTTTCTCCCTTTCCTTGTGTCTCCTTTGTTTCTGTCTCCCCCTCTTTAACCCATCTCCTTTTTCCCTTCCACTCTACCCCTTTATCCAAAACCCACCGTATCAGGGACTAACATAACCATTCCCACCTGAAATTCACTTATAAAACTTGGGACTCCTCTGACTTCTGCCATTCTTTTTGATCAAAAATTTTGGGTGCTTCTTTCCCCTTAAGGGTGGGATGTCTCACACAGTCAATGGCTTGAGCACCCAGCTGGCACCTAAAGGAGTACAGGTGGTCTGAGGGATCTGCACTGGGTGCAGACCAGATACAGACACAAAACCTGAGCTTCACCAATCCCTCCTGCATCTCCCTCTGCCTTTAGATTCCCAAAATACTCATGAAAGAGATGTTTCAGCTCACCTGTGGATTCTTTCCCTAAACTTTTACAGAGACTTGGGTCACTGTGATTTTTTTTTACATCAACTCCTATGACTGTGCTCCCACCCTGAGAATTTACTCCTGCGAAATATTCATGCAAGGTTAGAAGCATTTTTTTGGGAATGAGGTTAACATAAATTTCAATTAAAATATCCACACTTTGATTTTGTTTTCCATCAGACAAAATTGGATTTGGACATTATTCAGGCAGGGTGAGTGCTGATACTGCATATTTTGCTCCTTACAAACTGAAATGTGGAAAGAAGACTGATTTTGTCAGGTAGGGTGTGGCAGAGATGGATGCAATGTCCTGTAGGAAGCCTCAGCTTTGTTTCTCCCCCCTGCAGAATCCTGGTGGACAACAGCCTGTCCCACTGCAGAGGTGCATGGTTGTGACAAAAGCACTGTGGAACACAAGACACTCAGCCACGGATGGCTCCTTGCTCACACTCTCCAAACTCTTTCCCAAGCCTTTCCCTCTCCCTGCTCTGCCCTTACTGCAATTTGAGTTCACATCGCACAAACGGTGGCCTGGGATGAGCATCGATTGTGACATTTGATTTAAGTAGGTCTCATTTCACTGACTTTTCATGGGTAACTGGATAAAAGTGGAGGAGGAGCTCCATTAAAGCAAAGAAAGCCCGACATGTAACTCATTCCTGAACCATCGAGGCTCACCGAGGGAATGGAGTTTGGTTTTTAAGAGATGAGCAGGCTGCATCCCTAAATCCCAACCCTGCAACCCCAGCTGCCCTCCCTTCCACATCCTCCCCGAGATCCCTCCGACCCAAAAGGCCTCAGGTTCTCTCACTGCCTTCCACACCCACTGTCCCACATCATGTAACCCTCTTCTAGATCCTGCAGCTAATTAAGGATCTTGCACATGTACTGGATCATTCCTAGCTCAGATGTTTGCTCCTAGACAAGGCATCACACAAATGATGGCTGGCCAAGCTTAAGTCAGGCTCTAAGGTAATAACTGATGTCAATCTGCAGCCCATCCCCCAGTAAGACTCTGATCTGCACCTCCTGCTTCGTCCTAAAAATTTTCACAAACCCCATGTCTAGAAGACAGGCTTTTGCTGAAGAGATGCCATGAAGCTCATCCCTCCATCCTACAGGAAAGGAAGGATTGGTCCAGTCCTGATGGGATTTTTCTTGACATCAGGAAGGGCGACAACCACAAAAAACACTGGCTGCAGGAAGAAGAGGAGTTTGCTCCTTCGGGAATATTCAGATAATTAAGGTTGGAAAAGACCTTTAAGATCAGCAAGTCCAACCATCAACCCAACACCACCACCATGTTCACCACTACACCATGTCCTCTCCCAAGTGCCACATCCACATTTTTTGATCACCTCCAGGGATAGCGAATCTGCTATTTCCTTGTTTCAATACTTTACCACCTTTTCCATGAAGAAATTTTTTCTAATATCCAATCTAAACCTCCCCTGGTAAAACTTGAGGCCATTTACCATTATCTTAAGCAAATCCTAAATACTTAGGCCCCAATATCTTAGAATTCTGCTTTCTTCCTTCATTATTAAGGTTTCTTTGTCCTTCCCTCATTCTTTCTCTATCCACCACATATTTTGTTCAGCAAACAAATCATCATTTGTTTATTTTTTCTGACTAATTAAACCCTCTGACAGAAGGTGGTCAGATGCTGCAGGATCTTAGCCTTGTGAGGGAAATTTCCTTAAAGAAGGAAAAATGGGGAAATCAAGGTTGGTTTAAAAAATAAAGATGCTACCAACAGAAAAATGTCAAGGTAAGAGAATGAACCGCCCTGTGGCATTTTCCCAGCACCACAGCTGAAGAAAAAATTGGTTGTTTGCAGAAGACAGGGCAGGAATAGGATTCCTGCTTGCCTGGACTGGAGGTGGTCCCAGAAAGGAACTGCTGAGAGGGGCCATCCAAAAACTCCCTGAAACACAGAAAACAACTGTGCCTGTTTGGAGCTGGAAATAAAACTTTTCCCTGGGCCAGTGGGGAACAGAGCAGGTTGTTCTGAGTTGCAAGGGCTGCGATTCTGTCACCAGGCATGGCAGGGGAGGAGGGAGGCAATCAATGACATCAGCCAGGATGGAAATAACGAGCGCTGCTGCCTGGGGCCACTCGCTGTCCTGCACCTCATCGCTCTGCCTGGCAGGCCAGAAGGATGCTCTCCTTTCCTTTACAATTTCACCTTGCTTCCTTCTTTTTCCTTCTCTTCCTTTCTCCCTAATTTTTGCTCTCCTTTGTCTTCTCTGTCTCCTTTCCTTTGGCTATTTCCCATGGCGTAATCTGCCTTTTCTTCTTGCTCTTAATGCATTTTTCCGGCTCTCCCCCTTTCAAATTCTCTGAATTTCTCCCTTTCCTTCTCTGGCTTTCTACAGAACGCTGTGAAAAGCGACTCGATTTGAGTTGTGCTTTTTCCATTACCCTGCTCTGGCTCCAGGGTCAAACAGGCTCCAATTAGAACAAAGTATTTCTTAATGCTGTGCAGTTTGCCCCAGACCTTACAACCAAGCTGTTCTTTCTGCTTTTTCCATCCTTTATTCCAAGAAAGGCTTGAACAAAGTCTTTATAGGCACAACATCACACCAATAAAA